GCTGGCGGTGCTCCCGGGCTGAGTCGTTGGGGCGGACGTGCCCTCCTGGTCGGCCTCCTCTCTGACACCGCAGTGGGGGGAGCAGACGTGCTCGGGACCCCCAGTTGATCCTGCAGCCACGCCATCCCCTTCTCTTCCACCATTCTTCTCACACCGGCCAAGATTTCTTCGGCAGAAGCCATCCCTGCAAGAAAAAGAACAGACCACACAAACCTGACAAGTATCAAGTAAGTGTGATTTTGATTAAAAAGGACAGTTCACCAAAATGGCTGTTATTTAAACCCTTATTCTCCTCCCCCCCCCCCTGTCCAGACATTACTTTTCCACACCCTTGACCTTAATCTCACCTGCCAACCCTCTGTAAAGGCCCTGGGGAGTCAGCACAGCTAAACGTACAAGGGCACATGTATGAGTGTGGGGATGGTGCTAGTGATTGGCTGTATGTGTTTAGGGGAGTGGTTATGGGTTTGTAGTGGGGCAGGGATCATCTTACCTCAGTGCCTTTTGGGATTCTGGCCAGCAAACAACTTCCCTGCCTCTGTGCTCCTGTTTGTCCTGGGCCTGCATACGTTTCCTGCTTGAGGGATGGATATTGAAGGCATCCTGTCTGCCCTCAGAGCTGCAGCTGCCCTGGATGGCGGTAGGCACTTGAGGGAGCAATATGCTCACCTCCAACCTGTGGCCGCCGGTGTGGGTTCACCCCCCCACGGTCGGGCCTCTCCAGGGGCCTCCAACAGCCCCCGCCCGCCTGCTCGTCTGAGCCCTGATCCTTCACCTCGGGCCCGGTATAGGAGCCGGAGCCCAGGCCCGAGGCACCACCAGGCCCGCGTGGCAGCTCCAGCTGCTCCATCTGCCACGCGGCCTGCATCTACTGCCGCCCCCCGCGCACCCCCCGGCCGTGGACAGCGGGCCAGGTGTGCCAGAAGAGCTGCAGAGCATCCTGGGTGGTCTGGGAGGCCTTCCCAGCCCCCACGTGGTCGGCGCACCGACGGATCCAGAGCCGGGCCGGTGGTGGTGAGTGGGCCCCTCAGGGCCACGTGGGGCACGGCTGTGCTGTTGCTGGGGGGTGGAGGGGGGTCCTTCCCGGGCTCTGTGGGCTCCTCTGGGGATGAGGGTCGGCCGGGGGGGTCCCCCTCTCCTCCCCCGGGTTCTGTCGGCAGTTCCCCCCTCCCTCCTCCCCCCCCTGTGATTCCATCCCTTTCCTCTCCCTCTGGTGCCCCCTCTCCCTCTATGCTTGCCTCCTCCTCCCCTGTTACTGCTGGGCTGGGCCCCCTTCCACTCTCTGCTCCCCCTCCTGGCTCTCTCTCTGTCTCCCTTCCTCCTCCCCCCCTCCCTTCTGTCTCTATTTCTGGTCCCTATGTCCCCCCTGCACCCCATGGGTACTCACCTCGGCTGCCCTCCTCTGCGGGGTGTGAGCTTACCTCCTCTCCGCTGCTCTTCTCACAGGATCTGGCTGCTGTGGCTGCAGTTCCTGGGACCGGCCAGCAGATGGCGCCTGGTACTGCTGCAAGGCTGAGCAGTGCTGAAAATGAAGTTAACTCTCTGCTGCCTGGATCATCTTCATTTCCTTTGCCGCGGGAGGTTCCTCGGGCATCGGCTGGTGAGTTTACTAATTTTTCTTCTTCTCAATCTGGGGGTTCCTCATTAGGGGGGTTTCTGGCAGGGCTTCGGGGTTTTCTTGATCACTGGGAGCAGGGTGCGCACGCAGGTAGGGTCCCCCTATTAGATGGTCAGCTTCGGTCAGTGTGGTCCTCAGCGCTGCAGCCACAGGGGGTTCTAGCGGTTCCTGGGGTCACAGGGTCCCCCTCTTCCGGGTTGGGTGGCCAAACTGGCACCCCTGCTATGGCATCGGGTGCCTCGGCACCGGCGGTGGCTGGGGGGTCCCTGACATCGGGTGACCCCCCGGGTGTTGCGGACGTTGGTCCACCTATATGTGTTGGTCAGGGCCCTTGGGTGTGCACTTGAAACAGGAGGTTCGGGACAAAATTTGGAGGGGTGAATTTGTTGAGATTTTCTCCCTCCTTCCTATGGAGGAGGCTCCTCCTTTACTGGAGAAGGACGGGAAAGACTCCGACAAAGACAGGGAGAAGTACCGGTACCGGAAGATTCCTAAGACTTTCGGGAATTGGATTCGCGCATTTGCGATCCTGGCCAGTGTGATTGGGGAAAGGGCTCCGCAGAAGTGCTCCGCATTGTTCTGCTACCAGGATACCATTTGGAACGCTTGTCGTACCTATGGTGGTCTGGGGTGGTGGAAATATGACGAGCAATTCCGTCAAAGGTTAGCGGTGCGCCCCTCCATTTCATGGGACCAGTTGGACATTGGCCTCTGGCTCTCCATTATGACCCGCCCAGCCCCCCAGCAGGGTGGGTTCTCGTCTTTTCTCGGGGGGGCCGGTGGGGGGGGTCCTCCTCCTCATCGGAAGCGCATCAGAGGCCAGGCTGTTGTTGGAAATTCAGCCAGTCACTGCAAATGGGGGACATCTTGCCGATTCAAGCATGAATGTTCCACCTGTGGGGGAACCCATCCCGTCTCCCGCTGCTTCAAGCGGGGCAAAGTGGGTGAGAAAGGGGATTTGGGGTCAAAGGGCGACGACGCCGGTGGTCATAAGCGCGATGCGCCCTTGGCTCGCCAGTTATAGGAATCGTCGGGCTGCCGACATCCTACTGGATGGTTTTGAGCATGGGTTTTGGATTCCGTTCACTTGTCGTCCCCCTTCCCCTCTGGTACGGAACCTTCGGTCGGTCCGGGAATTCCCATGGGTGGTTCGGGAAAAACTGAGTAAGGAGGTGTCATTGGGTCGGATGGCTGGTCCCTTTATGGACCCCCCGCTCCCGGAATTGCGGGTCTCCCCCCTGGGTGTGGTGCCCAAAAAGGAGCAAGGTAAATACCGTCTGATTCACCATTTATCGTACCCGAGGGGGGGTTCGGTGAATGATGACATCTCTTCGGAACTCTGCCGAGTGTCTTATGCGTCCGTTGACGCGGCGGTCGCCATGGTCAGGGCCGAGGGCCCTGGGGCATTGTTGGCCAAGGCTGATGTGGAATCGGCCTTCCGCCTGCTGCCGGTGCACCCGGAATGTCACCATCTT